GACCCGGCCCGCGCCTGGCTGAGCTGGGCGACCCACGCGGGGCCGCGAGCGCGCGCCGCGAGTGCTCAGCGGCGCCGCGAGATTGTGGTGAGCGGTGGTGCCAGGCGGGCGCGGGCGCTCCGCCCCGTGCGGCGCCGGGTCGCCGCCGCCGGGTGCCGGCCACGCTCCAGGGACAATGACCGAATGCGAGGAAGCAGAAGGAGAAGCTGCTGATGTCGTTCCTGCTGCACTTCAGCGACTACGTACTCGGCGGCAGCTCGCCGACCGACGACAGCGTCGACAAGCTGCACCGCAAGTACACCATCCTGGTGAGCACGGGTGCGGGACACCCTGGAGCGACTGTGCCAGCGCTCACACCAACTAACACTGAATTAAGCTTAACTTTATATGTAGTGATGCAAAGATGCTCGGTCTGACAGCTGCGCCCCATGAGCTTTTCTATAACTTCCGTCCGTGCTGGTGAGTTCTTCTTCGAGGGCGGAGACAGAACTGCACCTGGGTCGTGCTGTCGATGGACAAAGACCGCATTAGAGCGCGCCGCCTGGCGAGTGTGCTGTGCTGGGCACTGAATGCAGTGCAGGGAGCCATCATCCTGCCGGGGACTAGTACTGGGTGATTTTTCTTGCCGGGACACCATCAGGTACACGTTAGTGCTGGGCAGAGGCTAAGTTATAAGTACCTAGCATCACATAGCAAGTACCAAGCTATAAGCAACCTAGCCAACAGAGGTGTAGTTTCCTACTCAGTTGGGTGGGGGGCTTCCCTCAACTTGCAGAAAGAAGTGGGCCAATCTGCGGGAACACTGTTGTTTGGCGTTTTTTAGGGTGGGTTACATCATTTTTACGGTTCATCTCCCCACTAATTATTTCCGAAACCACATCGCTGCTAACGATCGTGTAGTAAAAGGCATAGCCTGCACTCTCAGTGCAGTATTCTGCTGGATAGTTAGTGCTTCACGTGCTAAAGTGCACTTCGTCCCTCCAGCGCAGATGGAAAACGCCGCCAGCCGTTTCGATGAGGCCCGCACGGACCCTTGGCAGAATGTCACGAGCGAAAGGCGACAGGATAACCTGCCTGATCTGGCCACCGCGCTGACTGGAAACCTTGGCAGGAACGTCACGAGCGGAAGGCGACAGGGCATCTGCCTGACCTGGACAACCGCGCGGACTGGAAACCTTGGCAGGAACGTCACGGGCGGAAGACGACAGGCCATCTGCCTGATCTGGCCACCACGGGGACTGAAAAACCTTGGCAGGAACGTCACGAGCGGAAGGCGACGGGGTATCTGCCTGATCTGGCCACCGCGCGGACTGGAACCACGGCCATTTCCTTTCTGTACTTCTGAATGGATCGCTAATACAGAGTTATTCATGGGGAGAGAGGTCGGGGCATGGCAAGGACATCCGAGAATGGATAGCTGTAGCTCACTGCCAAGTCATATCCATATCTTTACACACGCAGAACCAACGCTCGGCGCACTTTCTTGGAGGCGAAGTGCTCTGCTGCGGACTGTGCGCGGTGGCTTTCGGGACGGCTGCCATGTAAATATGAGACCGCAGCTTAATCAGCAAGCGCCTGGCTTTAACTGGGGTGGCGTAACTATTTAAGCCATAAAGATGGTTTGGAGCGTTCTTGGAGGAGCATGAGGGTGAAATATCTCAAGTTTTAAAACGTTTCCAGAAGTGCATAAGCATACGTGACACGTGAGTGCAATCGAGTACAATCGTGCATGCAGTGGTATGAAACCTTCTGAGCATTCAGAATCTCTAGTAACTTTTTAAATTAGTCTAGCAAAGGAAAAACAGTTAACGTGAGCCGAAAACACATTTTAAATGTGAATAACAATGAGGAATATTATCACGTTTAAAGATCTCACGCTGTTGCATTTCCAAAAATATTCGCATGTTGCAACATTGCAATATGCTTCCTGCAAATCATGCAAAGAACTTCCTGTGTGATTGTTTTTCATATGTGTAGTCTTGGACTGCACGGAACCACCGAGGAAAGTTGACACACATTTAAGACCTGTAGATTACATCCAAGTGGGTTAAATCTATAACCATCCCATACACTCGAAAAGGAACGCGATCGCTCAGAGCTACTCGCTTAGAGCCACCCGCCTGTATTCCTTCGTTTTTATGCCGGCTACCGGCGTATCGGATGTGCAATATACTCCCTGCCATCGCCCCAATTTCGCTGCAATAGCTCATCTCGCCGTGCGTTGCCTTTTGAACACCGAAAGATCAGCGGATCGCCTTATGTTGTCGCTCAGCGTGATGGGGCTCGTTTTGGCCATGATCGATGGCAGATGGTCGTGTCGCGTCGTTCTTCTGGCCGTGCTCCGGCCCAATGGGGGCCGCCATTAATCAGAGGCTAACGACTTCAGACGTCCACCGTTCGTCTCCGGCGCGTCACATCTGGCGCCAAGAGTGCCGGCTTACGAAAGCAATTTAAATTGAAACTGCGGATTGATTTCGGCCAGAGATTTGGCCGATTTTATAGCGTCTGTTACAGCAGTTTTCATGATATCGTAACGCTTCTTTCACAACGCTTCGCCTGTGTTGAGATACAAGACGAAACCAATCATATAAAATGATGTTCGTCAACAGCGATTGAAAAAGTTTTGCTCGCGTCGACATGTGTCCAAATTCCGATCCTCAGCTATGCTCGGCACGGCTAGCGGTGCCCAAGACCTTGTTGTAAAAGTCCGCTTCATCAGGCGGCCTCGTTAGCCTTCGTAGCGGAGACTGCGGCTAGCCTCGCCCTGCCGCTATCTGGCCTGGCGATGTGCCCGGCACAGCAGCGTTCAGCGACGGATTCGACGGTGACAGGGGCGCACCCAGGCATGGAACAAGGTAGGCGCCCCAAGATGCGCGATGGTGTGTTGGTTGGACTGGAGGTGCTGGCTCTTGACGCCTGGTGTTGATGAGTGCCCCCGCCTTTGGTCGCCTGGGTGCACCCTTGCCGGCATAGGCTCATAAAAAGCGGGGGCCGTGTCCTCGCCTATAGATGGCGTATTGGCCGCTTTATGAAGCGGAGGAGCGTCGGGCTTCGCTGCGCGCGGGCGTTCGATCGGCGTGTCAAAACAGGAAACGGTGGTGACTCACAGGCGATACTGGTGATACACAGGCGACACTGATGATACACAGGCGACACTGGCAACACTAGCGACACTGGCGATACAGACGACACTGGCGACACTGGCGACACTGGCGACACAAGCGACACAGGATACACCAGCGACACTGGCGACACTGGCGACACCGGCGGCACTGGCGACACAGGCGACACTGGCGACATTGGCAACACTGGCAACACTGGCGACACTGGTGATATACAGGCAACACCGGCAACACTGGAGACACAGGCGACACTGGCGACACTGGCAACACTGGCGACACTAGCGACACTGGCGACACAGGAGATTCCAGCGCCAAAGCGAAACAGGAGACACCAGTGACACCGGCGGCACTGGCGACACAAGCGACGCCGGTGATACACAGGCGACACTGGCGACCAAGCGACTCAAACGACGCAGGAGACACCAGAGACACTGGCGACACTGGCGGCACAACCGATAAAGGAGATACCAGCGACACTGGCCACGCAGGCGGGTCGCTTGTGTCACCAGTGTCGCTGGCAACATGCTAAAAGAGAAACATGTTAAAATCATGCTTGCTCCTCTGCCCGTCCTTGAGGAGACCGTCTCGAAGGAGCTGTCGTCAATGTCTCCTTCACGTATTCCGTCCTTTCGTTCTTTGCTCCACCGTCTTCCCTCCATTCATCTCTTCCTCTCATATCCTACTGATTAGGACGATGCGCACTAACGCCGCTCCATTCTCCGCAGGTTCTGCTCTTCCTGTCTCTGCCTCTGGTCACCAAGCAATTCGCAGGTGATCCGATCGAATGTTTCACGCCAACCTATTTCACCGAGGCTCAAACGAGGTAGGTCAACCGAGATCCGCGCACCGCGGACAGCGCTGATGACGAGGGTGAATAGTGTCACCGCGCGCCACAAGCTGCATCTATGACCACGCCTTAACGCGCTGGCTTTGCCAGATAGATGATTGGCATGAAGCGTCAAATACCAACAGACCACCACAATGTGATGGTGAAGAGTCAGTCGCCTCCCTCGCGCGGTGGATGTTCAATGTGCCAGTCTGGGTATATTCTTCCAGATCCGAGCCGAGATGATCTGCTGTCTTCCAGGTCCTGCTGGCTTGTTTGCTTCTCTCTTTGTTTCTGATAGCGTCACTCGCTCGTTATCTGTAATTTACGAGGACGTTTGTGGAGGATTGACGCAAAAAGCGATGTTCATAATCCGACTCTTCCCTCCTCGCAAAAGCTATAAGCGGACCAATGCCAGGCGAACGTTGGCATGCATTACCAGTGTATTTGCACATGTGAAACGCATACTTCACGGACATAACTTAAGGCCATGCATGCACTGTGCTTGCTGGTGCGGGGAACACACGCACAGAATAAATCAAACCACCCAGCTGCTGAGGCGGAAGAGAGGATTTCATAACAAGGGATCAATTGTTCCTATCATCAGTGAAGCGCGAGTGGAAAACAAAAAGAATAAAGCCTCCAGTGTGGCGCGTGGTCATGCGGAAGAACAACTCCCGCCCGTTCACTTCCCTGACTCAGCCTTGGTTGGGGTTTACCCGCGCCTTCTGAAGTCCAACTCGACGCCTGCACGTGAAACCGCCTTAAAGGGCAGAAGGGACTTCCCATGCAACGCATCCACTGAATAAGTCTCCCAGTATATCTAGGCCCGGTTATGCTTATAGTAGGCGCTTTGCTTGAAAACTCCAACGTTTGTCCTCAGCCTGTGTCCGAATTTCTTCAAGTTCCGATAGACTTGCCCTTTTACCTCCACTGGCCGAGGACGGGTGATCATCGACCCACCCCTGGCCACACCTAGGACGTCGCCGGTCATGCCCGGTCATCCCCAGGGGTTCCTTTCTGCCCGCGGTCCCAGTGACCGATTTAGCTAATCACCAGGGTCGCCGCCTTCCGCCGCCGGCGGCCGGAACGTCCGGGGAGGCGTCCGCGCCATTAGCGTCGCCGTCGACAATAGCGGCGCGGCCCCGGTGGCCGTGGAATATGGGCAGCACCTGCCAGCGCGCATCCTGGCACCGCCGGTGGGGCTCTGGGCGGGGGAGGACGAGGAATGTCCGCAAGGACACGCCATTAGTGTGGAGGACTCGCGCCGCGGAGGAACGTACGCAGCTGGTCGAGAGGCGGGCGTGGATGTCATCGCGAGTGACGAGGCGCGTGCGAGGAATAGTCTAACATTTGTATTCAGCTAGCTTTGCCATGTGGTGGTGTTGCGCGTGCGATAATATACAAATGATAGCGTAGGCTGGTATTGACATTTCACGATAAGGCGCGCAAGCCGAATGCTGCAATATTTGCGGACCGCTACTTCTATCATTTGAAGTGCGACAAGGCCTAATTTACGTTAGGTGCACGTATACAAATCCTATGCGATTTCTCCAGCAGTCGAATATCAACACGGGCGTACATCGCTCTTTGCAATTGTATTTGAAATGGATATATATATATATATATATATATATATATATATATATATATGATATAGTATTAAACCATTGCGTTTGTCTTTCCTTATCTGGATGACAATTATTCACGCCAATCGTTTCTGGTGTGCTTCGTTTCCTTAATGCAGCGTTTGAGGGCCCGAGCGCATCACTTTGTGGAGATTCAGCCGCTGGTAACGCCTGGCGATGTGTTTGGATTTGCTGTCTATCCCCCGATTTTAGCGAGCTCTCTGCCTCGATTCATTTTCGGTTACGAGGCACGCAATAGCAGCAGGGCGCACTTTTGATGCCGCTGTTCAAGGGTTTGATGTTTGCCCTCGGAGCCAAGCCAACTGGCCATAAAACACTGGATTTTTCTGGGAAACCCATTTACCGTCAGCAGTACTGTTTGGAATGGGTGTTTGTGCGACACTTTCGTTGGCGCAGAGGCCAATGCCGGCGATGTGTCTTTTATTGCGGATGTGTTATATTGCATGGAGATTTGAGGATCCGGCGCGACTAGAATTGGGGGAAAGTTTCATTTCTAGAGCAAACTGATAAGGCGAATAGTTCCGGGAGAAGTAGAAACAATGCTGCATGCGGCGATGTAGATAAATGACACGAGAGCGCCGTTTTGCTGGCAGACAAAGCCAACTGATAAGACACGACGCACACATATGACACCGACTCATCTAGTTGACGTAGCACAAATCAGCCTTTAAAACTGTCGATTGGATTGAGCAAACATTACGACAGAGCATATCGTATGGCGAGCCATACAACAGTCAAACTATTGTCAGCTTTTGGGTCACTATAGTCTGAGTACCAACGAATAAGTACGACAGGACTAGCAGAGCCGCAGAGTTGCATCAAGCGTATGACGAGGAGACCTAAATCCTAGGGTCTGGAAATGATTCGCTGATTTTGGAAAGAAAACGGTATAAGCTAATTGTTGTTTGGCTGTTGTAGAAATTTCTCTGTTTTTTGGGAAGTTTTTTCTCTTTGTGAGATTACTGTTTACAAGATCCGACTCCAAAGATTACCCCAATTTTTCTATGGACACTTTATGTTCTTCCACATCTTGTTGTCTCTCTTTCAAATATAACGTTGACCCCAGGTCAGTACAAAAAGTTACCAACGATGAACAGTCAAGTGTGCTACCGACGATTTAGGTCGAAGGCTTGTTGTTAATGTCTTTCTGAATTCCGTTAAAGCTTTCTTACTAGTTCGATAGAGGTCAAGGGATTTGTGAAATCAAAACCATTGGAGCAAAATGATGCTACGATGGTTCGAGAAAGTCAGCTTGTACCTGTCAGAAGTTTTAATGTCCTTTAAAAATAGTCACTCCGAGGATCGAGAGAGAGAGAGAGGAGAGAGAGAGAGAGAGGAGAGAGAGAGAGAGATAGAGAGAGAGAGAGAGAGAGAGAGAGAGAGAGAGAGAGAGAGAGAGAGAGAGAGAGGAGAGAGAGAGAGAGAGAGAGAGAGAGAGAGAGAGAGAGAGAGAAAAGAGAGAGAGAGCGAGGAGAGAGAGAGAGAGAGGAGGAGAAGAGAGAGAGAGAGAGAGAGAGAGAGAGAGAGAGAGAGAGAGAGAGAGAGAGAGAGAGGAGAGAGAGAGAGGGGAGAGAGGAGAGAAGAGAGAGAGAGAGGAGAGAGAGGAGAAGAGAGAGAGAGAGGAGAGAGGAGAGGGAGAGAGAGAGGAGAGGAGAGAGAGAGAGAGAGAGAGGATGAGAAGGCGAGAGAGAGAGAGAGAGGAGGGAGAGAGAGAGGAAGAGAGAGGAGAGGAGAGAGAGAGAGAGAGAGAGGAGAGAGAGAGAGAGAGAGAGCTATGTACACATCCATAAATACCTATATATATATATATATATATATATATATATATATATATATATAAATGCAAGCATATGGAGCGAGATAGTATCTATGTTTGCTAATTGCGTTGTTCCGCATGCCAGGTTACTCAGCTTAATTAAAAAGAACCTTGAATATGCTCCAAAATGTAGGAGGGCATATCATCACCGACCATATACTACCCGGTGTTCAAGATCTGGTAGCCCCATAACGTAGCGTCTGAACTGGGCCCGGAGGCTAGGAGATAGCGGAATTAGCGCCAAATCCCCAGCTCAAACTCTATGTTTTTGAACGCGCAAGGCATCAACAAAAGAGCATGTGTCACACAGCTGTCTCGTTGTCTAAAGCTGCAGGGAATTGCTTTCCACCCTAGACGACCAGGGAGTGTGACAAAGATTAAAGCCAACGAAAGGTCGGTGGATAAAAAAAATGTAACAAAGCACCATCGGGGGATAGCGTCCAGCCGTTTTTACAAGGGAATTTGTTCTGTATTTTATCCAAAATTTTATGGGGATGTTTTAAGTATTGCGGCTCTTTGAAGTGTAGGCTAAACAAAGCCTTGTCTCAATGTATCCAAGACAAAAATTTCGCGACAGATTTGTTGCCAAGTTTTGCAGCGATATATTACAGATTGCAAATCCTGTTTGCGTGGACTGTGGCAAAGTCCGAATCCAGCACCACAGCAGCGCAATTCTACCTGAAGGGCTTTTTAATGCCTTCTCCGCTTATTCAGACATTACCTGGGGATTTCATCTGTCGTGCAATGGCACAAAATGGCGTCCCGTTGCTAGCCTCGCCAGCCTGGCACC